TTATTTTTCCGAAATAGTTAACCCAACCTAGTTATTGTTTCACTCTATAATTTTTATATGCCTATCTCGTTTCCATTTTTTTCAGTTTTTTGTGAAGTATAGAAGTTTTTATAAAATTTAGTTAAGGAGTTTTTTAAAATTGTAAAACAATGTCTCTGAAGTATTTTCACACTGCAGTGCATAAATTAAGTTCTAGAGCCTTTGACAATTTGTATTGAATTAACAAATAAATTATTTAACTAATGATAAGTTAAAAGTATTCAGTTTGAAAAACTATTGCTTTTGACTATCATTACTTATAACATTATACCTTTAAAGTGTTATAGGAAATATATACGATACAACAAAACAATCATTGTAACTCAAAATGGCGTAGAGTCGACATTTGCTCAGGCATCGAAATCTTATTATATTTGAGAATTGTATAATTTAACCTGTATGCAAAGTTACAACAGAGCATAACATCTGTCTAATATTTCTCATCATATGTTAGCATGTGGCTGTTCCTTTAATGTCATATATAACTTAGATTGTCTTTTTTAGTTTGATTTAAGGCTACAAGCTACAAGTTAAAGCGTGGGAATTATGTCATGTATCAAATAAGGGTATCTGCATACCACCTTCAGTATACAATAGTCAATGATATTTCATACTGAACAAGGTTACAGAATGAAAAACACATATTAGTTTTAACATTTTCAGATAAACTATTCTTTTAATTTAAGTTATGTTTTCCCTTCACTGTTTGATCAACTTATTCTCAAACACCTCTCTGCTAATAGTTGCGGCAAAACAAGGAAGGGGCTAAGAAATTGTGGCAAAATGGCTAAAATCCAAACAAGTGTTAAATTATTACTAAAATGTATTTTTAATGTTTCAAATTGAACATTTTGTTGAATGAATTGGATATAGGTACCGCTTTTAAATATACTTTTTACTCATACTGGCAATGTTTTAGAAGATGTGACAATAAAAGAAAAATATTCCAACCAGTGAATATATTACTGCGTGAAAGTGTTTTTAAGTGAAACGTGAGTGTAAGTGAACACATAACAAATGTATATAATTTTGAGATAATCCACAGTAATATTGCAGCAGTTATTAACAGGGGAATTCATCAGTGATCCCGTTCAACAATGCAAAACATGTCAAACTTAGGTGGGGATGTGATGAACTACTGTCCTAGTGCATCCACTTAAAATCTACAAACTATTTATGAAAAATACATGATCATCCCTTGATTTACACGCACTATTTCATTCTCATCACGAGACTCATGTGGAAGGGCAAATTAAAGGTAATAAACCAGCAACCAGTGTACATAAAATGATAGCCTGATAACATTTTAAAATGAGATTAGATTGTACATTTTTAACTTTAAAGATAGTTTTAATTATTCTAAAACAGAAAAGTACTACTAGCCTCGGACCAAGAAAGAAGTAAAACAAATAAACAAATAGGTTTATCAGCAGAGTTTTTTTTTTTTTTTTTTTTTTTTTTTTTATTAGATTGGGTATCAAAAGTTAACTTTAAATTCGTGTAGCCTCTGATTGAACACTAATTCTCAATTTAAGTAGAACACTTAAGGAAGAATGGCTTCAAAACACTCAGAGTTTAAAAGATTGCCACTGGCTTTTCAGAGAGCAAAAAACTAGCCTTGTTCAACCACTTGAATTGAATTACGCTTTTGTTCTAAGGGGAAAAAGCTAATTTTCTACGCCCTTTTAAGTAAAAACAAAATATTTATAACAAAATTAATACATTATTAAGCTAACCTAAAAATAATAATTTTTAATCTTTAATTTGTATTTTACTGGTTTGTCTTTATTTCGTCTATATTTTTTATCCCCTATTTTATTCAAATGTCGCACAACACATGTTACAAAATGGCCACGCAATAGGAAAAACGGAGGATAGTCTATGTACTTTAAAGAATTGTAAGAACGGATATGTAATGAAGGCTTGGGAAGAATTTTATATTTATAAGGAAAAATGTAAAAATAGAAATAAGCTGAATAATGAACAAGTAAAATTCGACTCCAGTTGTACTTATAAAAATGTATTGGCCGGTGCTTCCGGTAGCCAATAGGGTATACGTAGGGGGACGCCTTTCAAGTTTCTTGTCATTCGCCTATGGGGTCTGATGATGATTGGAGTGTCCAATCGAAATCGAGCACCACGTACCATCTTTTTTGTATATTTTTAACGTCTTGTGCATAAAAGTATAAGCTTAAATATATCTTTTAAGTGTTATAAGACGATTCTTTGATTTACTTTCCGTATTATTTTTATCGTAAATCATTATACAGGCTATTTAGATTATACGTTTGTGTATTTTAACGATATTATTCTTGTTGTTGGTATCACAAAATGCAAAGTAAAATTACATTTCTTACTACAATTATTTTTTTAAATAAAGAAAGCCTTGAAATTAAAACATATATGACATGGATTATGATTTGAACAATTTTACTAGTACAAATGTGATTGTAGATAAGAATAACTTTTTGATGACATAATAAAATATTAATAAAATGAGTTTTACATTCAGTTTGAGTAAATTTGTCAACTACATTGTAAAAAAAAAAAAAAAACATATTTACGCTTTAGGTTAAAAATATTGAAAATCATACCATTTGTTGTAACCAAACACATTACTTGACAGGTCACGAAATAACTACTGTATCGTAGTTATGTAGCACGCTTTATGTCTGTCATAGAACTTGTGACAGTACTTAGTAACGCAAATGTTCAGTAAATGTTACTTTGCCAAACAACCAAATCCCAACATGACCCAGTTGTATATTGTTGTATGGTATACAATTTACTTAGCTGTCTGTTGTATGTATATCTTTCAATGTATCAAATTTTCTAACATGATAATTTTGCGATATTTGGTGTGAAGTATATAACCCCGATTTTAATCAACATTTAATTTTAATGATCAGACTAGTTAAAAACCACTGTAACAGCCATTTTTAGTATTTATTTTTTATTAAAATTTCATTGTGAATCAGCTTTTCTATTTCCGGAGAGACCTGGAAAATAATAGTATATTTTTACCTTGTTAAAGTCCAGGATTGACTTATTTAAACTCATTTGTCTACGCTTATTTTACTTTCGTTTAAATAACATACGCATACTCGAAATTCTCGCTTGCTTAAAAATTCTATTAGAAATATCTAAATTTAATAACTCAAAATTCACTGACTTGAGTCTAGACCAGCCAGTTCCTGCCGACCAGAGACTAGCGGTGGCTATAGTTATTTAAGTAAATTATATTAGGTAATTTGACGTTATTGATACCCTGATACTCGTCGTCTGAGTTCTAAGCCCCATCTTTGGTGGGTGAAAGAATCAAGTCTCTGGAGTGGTAAGATTTTAACAATTAATAACAAAGTATGTTATTATAAAATTTATTCCAAACCATATCACGCTAAATTCTTCGTATTGATACATAAATGAAATTTGAGTGTGGCTGGTCCTAGGGGTAGGCCTAGCCTGAGTTTGTGAATGCCAATTCACCCCCCCCCCCTAGAACATTACGTCACAAAGTATAAGTTTAAGTACAATGATTAAGTGTAAATGTTGTTCAATAAACTCTAAAATAATAAAAAAAAACTTAGTTCCCGGACTTTTTGATAACCCTGTTTGATAACCCCTTGTTTCTTTTTACTCAAGTTTTAGTTCAAAAGTCAATATTATCACCTATATTGTTATGTTCTATGAAATTTATATACATGCTGTTAACTAGCTGTAATGATTTGCTATGGTGCAAAAAAATACTTTCCTCATTTCATTATTTAAATATTGCATTCTATTGCAACATTATATTGATATTGTTTCTGCCTTTTCCAGTAGTAAATACAGTATAGTAGTTTAGAACAGTATTTGATTATATTTAAGATTTTACTTTGTGCATATTTGAAAACTTATTATAAAGGTAAATGCAATCAACCCAGATTCCTTAGTAGTTAACTTCAAAGGGAATATTAAGATGCTGAGTTAAAATTCTTATCTTACACTCGACCTTTTCAAGGTGTCAAATCAAAGTTTACTTTTATAGAATAATTTTGTTTTGGCTACACAATAACATGTGTTCCTTGCACTTTTGGAAAATATACCAGGTTGTGCCTAATTTTACGTTAATGTCTCTCTGTAAGTGAATTTTCAAGAATAACTTTCCACAGAAAAGCACTTTTGAGGATGTATATTAGGGTAAAGACTTTATTTTCTAACATCATTTTCTTTTATTGTAAACGAACACTATTTAGTAAACCCTCAAAAATGCTCAATATTTTAGTTTTGATTAAACTTAACCAAGTCAAGTTAGTTCATTATAAGGAAGGTTTTACTTATGAATTGTATTATATTGATTCATTTTAACATCATTGATTTGTTTTTTCTGTTAAAATATTCCATCAACGAGTAATAGTACTGAATTAATACTAAGTTTATCTATGTATGCAATTTCATTTTTGCTGCCTTTGTGTTATACTTAACTACATGTAAAATTCACTACTTTCTTGGTTTTTGACCCTCTTTGGTTGACGATTGTTTATGAAAATATGCACAATAGATTGACAATAGGTATTTAGGAAGTGCTGTAATCAATATAACTAACACATTGGCAAGTACCTTAGAATACACAAGCAGATATTATGTTTTGCAATTAGAGGTTATTATTAGTACATTTATTAGTACATTTCGTTAGTTCTTTTACAAATACATTTTCATGTTATCAAACTAGAAAATTTATAATTTATGATGATAATTACAAATACAACACTTGCACTAAGTAGTATTAAAATAAGTTTATTTACTGTCATATTTATTGAAAATGGTTTGATAATTTTTATTATTTATAATGATACGTTATCCCATTGAGGTACTAGGCAACCTTCCGCTGCTGCTTATGTTAATTTTAGTCCCATTTGATATATTAGATATGACCAATGTGATGTTGGGCTTGGCACCGTTAGCTGGAACGTTATCAATACTTAGTGAGATTCCAGTAGAATTTGTTGATGATGAAGATGGACCCGTGAGGGATCCTCCTACAGCTCTTGGAGCAGAGGCTGTCCCTGGTGGTCCAGCTCCTGGTGGGCCAGCTCCTGGTGCTCCTCCCAGGGGTCCTCCCCCTGGAGCTCCTGGTGGTCCTGCTCCTGGTGCTCCTCCCGGTGCTCCTCCTGGTGCTCCTCCCGGCGGTCCTCCCGGTGATCCTCCTGGCGCTCCTCCCGGTGCTCCTCCCCCTGGAGCTCCTGGTGGTCCTGCTCCTGGTGGTCCTGCTCCTGGTGCTCCACCTGGTGCTCCTCCCGGTGCTCCTCCCGGCGGTCCTCCCCCTGGAGCTCCTGGTGCTCCTGGCCCTCCTGGTCCTCCTCCTGGTGGTCCAGCCCCTGGTGCTCCTCCTGGTGGTCCAGCCCCTGGTGCTCCTCCTGGTGGTCCAGCCCCTGATGCCCCTCCTGGTGCTCCTCCTGCTGCTCCTGGTGGTCCAGCTCCTGGAACTCCAGGGATGGTGGGCGACGCACCTGGAGTTCCGGGAGGTGCTCCACCTCCTGGGCCAGGACTGCCTGGACCACTAGGAGGAGCACCAGGGCTAGCACCAGTTCGTGGAGGTGCATTCCCTGCTCCCGGAACACCTGAAGGAGGTGGTCCGCCTGGTGCTTGAGCTAATGCTGAAGTACCTTGGCCGTTAGAGACTGATGTTACAGCAACGATTCTTGGTACCGCAACAACCCGTGGAGCGTTTAGGGATGTAGAGAACACTTGGTTCAACGCCGGAAGTTGTATCTGTGATTCCACCACAACGAACAGGAACCAGGTCGGTAGTATTTCCTGAAACAACATAAAATCTAGCAAATAAATTAAATATGCATAGCCTACCTTTTAATTTAACATACAGATTCCAAATAATATTGCTACATAGACAATTTAATTCATATCGTAACACGGAAGATTACTATGTCTATCTAAATGAATCATAGTCTTTCTTTTAAAGCTATGAAGTTGTAAATTAAAAAGTAATAAAAGGCTATACTACTTCAAATTGCAGACTTAACCGTACAAATTGTACAAACCATCGTGAATCAGTGTGATCCCCTTGTATTTGTGCACTGATTATACATTTTTTTTTTTTTTTGAAACGCAAATGTGTATAAAAATGTCCACTGTCAACAGATGACTGATGATTTGATAATTAATTTACGAAATTAAAATGTATTTGTTCATTTTGGAGAAAACGTGGTAGAGATTTCTATCGTGTTAAAATGTGTGTTTACAGATTGATAAGAGTGTTGCCTTTATGGCTTTATCAACATACAATAGGACAATTTTAGGTTATAGTCAGCATAATTTGAGAGTCCAACGTCAGTTAGTTGGTTGTAGGAAAACTTTGGCTACATTTAATTCCTTTTGATTGGGGGACCTTCACGTAGAGGGCATTTACTACCCAACTGCCACCACATAGATGGAAGTCCACGCCAAAAGCTAACTACTACTCCAACCTTCTAGGTTTGCAGAATCTCTTGCAAACCTTACACCAGGTGAAGAAATTAATACTAAGTTTAGCTATGTTACAGCTCCTTTTATGCTATTACTGAAAATGACTAGGGAGAAGAAAAGTGATGGAAAAAAATGTGAATGTAGCAGTAGAAGTTTATATCATGAATATTTTTCAAGCCTATCTTTGGTTTTTTTTAATTTTGAATACCTTTCGAAAGTAAGACAACATGAATCCTTAGAAAAGTTGCTTCTCAAAGTATGGACATGTCTGTTAACGAATCCTGCTACTATATCACATACAACAATTTTACTGACTACCCTCATTGAATACACGGTTCCTCTTAATCATATGGAAAATGTTTGAATGCTTTTGCTAACCACACTGCAGTTAATCCTTATAGTATAGTTATAAGATGATGATTGTAAGTTATTTGAACCAGAATTGGACGAAACTACACGTCTGCAGTAGTTGGTAATTCAAGCTGATTGGATAGCATAATAGTATGGCCTCGGGATCGTCTGAATAAACTAATATCCGTTAAGACATTCTCGACCTTAAGATGTGCTACTTTAAAAGCATGAAACAGCTGTAGTCGTTATATTACAGTCAAGGATCATTTTGACAGCAAACAGGTAATTTTAAACCTACATTAGTAGATTGGGTAGATAGACACCGATACAAACAAAGCAAATTGATTCTGACAGAGTGTAGATTAAATTTGACTAAGAAAATCATGGAAAAAATTAAATTTATGATTTTTATGAAATTATAAAAGATCCCAGTTATGCTATAACTAACTTTAATAAAAGATGCTGGCTGAAAAAAAATAATTACACCAACTTATTCTGTAACACAAATTGAAATCATCTTTTAAGTTACTAAACTGATTTTAAATATTAAGGCACTTTATTAATATAAATTGTTATATGTTTCTAACTATATTTCAAAGAAATACTTACTAGTTTGCAGATGGACATTCCGATACTGTACATGTGTTTACAGAAGCACGACTCCGATGGACTGAACACAATTCCGCATGAGTCGTCAAATTCCAACGATTTGTCAGAATAAATAATGAAAATGACTGTGTATTTACCACAACTGTTCTATACCCGTGACATTTACGTTGTACTGCAAAAGTGAACAAACATTTAAATCTGAATTCCTACTTAATTATGGCGAACAAAGACCCAGGATATTAATTATGTTTGACAATAAAAACATTACGTTTTGAAATTCTCTCAATTACACTAGCAAAATATGACACAATCATACTTTCCTTGAATTATATCCCAACAACCTAAATTTAGTACAAACAACGATTAAGTTTATGTGGTCCTTATGATGATACTTTTGTTAATGTTGTAAATGGAATGACAACAAACTTTGTTTTGAATCCTAGTGTAGCCACATATGTTTAAGAGATGTTTTACAATATGTCGAAACGGACCTATAATAGTCTATTTTTTTAGCTCATGAGAATATTCATTCTGCTCATAAAAATATATTCAAATACTCGCACATATTAAGAACACAATACAATCCGCTTCGTTCCCGAACACATCCTAAACTAATAAAGGTAATTTGAAAACATAAAAATTAATAAAAAAATAAAATAAATAAAGTATAGAATATTTGTATTTCAACTCCAATCATAAACTCCCAACGACACCGACTGTAAAATTCCGCGTAGAATTCGCGTACTATTGTAATTAATAATTAATTATGCCACAGCTTTTGAATAGTTTTTAATGTGAATTATTAATATCTTTTTTAAGGAAATAAATAAAATCCATCTTAAACATTATTTCAAAAAAAAAAATAAGGACTTTTTGTTCTTCAATATAGTTAGTTTAGTTTGATTTAGGTTTTTGATGCGGTAGAATGCTATTGTATGTTTTTAATATACTATCTAAAATGTAATTTAAGTATAAGGTGTGTAATTCCTAGTGACATTAAAAATTGTATCAATAATAATAATTTATTAACCTATGGAATATTAATTTATGACCATTTTCTATAAATACATAAACATCTTTGAAGAAAATGGGTTTTCATTTACAGAAATTTAAAGTTTGGTTATTTTTGCCTTTTCAGTTTTTACTGTAATAAAACAGCAATATAATAAAATTCTGACATCCTCTTACATCAAGGCATCCTTTTTACGCCTGAAGATGACTTTTTGAAGGTCAAAACTAGTTGCGACATTAGCAACTTTTAGATTACAGTGAAGAACCGTTTGTATGACGTATAAGCATCAATACAAAGTATTTTTACTTAAAATTGATCTATAGTGACTTGCAGAAACATTACGCATTGTGGATATACAGATCGAACAAATATTGTTTTATTCAACAGAATAATACATGGTAGACCAAGTAACCATTTAAACGGTATTCGACTAGTGCTACAGACAAATGAATATGTTTTTAGGGGAATAGTAAAATGATGTTTTACAAAACAATTATTCATGTATAAAATGGTATCAGGTTTTATATTTAATAAGGAATTTAATTGGTTGGATGCCATTAACACGGACTTTTACTTATAAATTTAGTTATGTTTGTAAAATTCCAGTGAGTAACATTTTTTTAAGAAACAATACTTATTTTTCGTTATTTTTTACAATATCCATTTGTAAAAAAATAATAAAATTACATCCTAGGATCATGATGATTAGTACAAAATGTACCCCATTGGAAAAATCCAACTTTAACATTTTTGTCAAGGTTAAAATTTAATAGGAATACCTTTAATTATTGAATTCAAGTTAAAACTTAATACTTAAATCGTACGTTGTACTTAATTTGTATTACCTAATTTGAAGACGAAACACAATTTGGTTCGAGCAGTGGAAGAGAATTCATTGGTTGAGAGGATGGAGTATTCACTTATTGACTTAGTTGAGCACAACTTGGTATTCCGAAGTGGTCACAAGTCACAGTAGAGGTCGAAACTCTATGTTAGACTACTTGTGTTTATGTAACTAACTTGGGCTCAGTGTTCACTAGAATTAGGTTAACGGTGTTAGCAACCTAGTTAAGGTTTTGAACCATTAGGTGTTACCTATATTGTAGTTTCCTAACATACAGGTTGCATATAATCAAATACAGTACTGTTTGTTTTTTCATAAATAATTTTACTTCAGTATTGCATTTGCAATGATTATTTGTATATTAATACATTTTTATGATACTTCATAAACAATGAAATAGTTTCTTTTGTTAAATCTTTCAAAGAATTACTATATAGTAGAAGGCCTACTAGTAATATTGAGATAACCTAGTCAGTTGTATCTACATTGTACTATGAACAATAACTTTTTCTTGGTACCACAATTATATTGTTTGAAAAAAGCTTCATGATGAACACAATATTGAGTAACGCTAAATTTTAGAGGATAAAAATGTTAAAATATATCATTAAATAGAATTTATTTACAACTTGGATGACGTATATATTTGTCAGAATTTTCGTCATTTCAAGACAGATTTTATTTTCTTAAAATAGATAAAAAATTTCTTAACATTTTGTCTTATAGTGGTACTTACTTGCAATAAATTGTTTAATTAATCTGTTTCACAATAAGGCTTTTGACCCTGGATATCATTTGTATTCTCTGGGACACAAAAGGCCCACTGAAACAAGCTATTGTATGGATTAGGAATTATGTCTAAGATTATGGTTTATAATTAACTAAGTGTTCTAGGAAATAAAGTATTACTAAACTTTTAGTTTACTATATACTAAAGCTATGTTGTGGGTATTTATTCCCATAAAACTTGAAACGTTCGAATAGCATTTGATTTTATGATAGTCGAGATCTTAATGAAATATAAGAAAGAGCTACAAATAAAATGAAATCTGAAATGTACTCAAAATTAAAAATGATTGGTATTTAAAAATTATAGGATGTTTTAGGGATCTAGTGGTTAGGTAAGGTAAAATATACTAGATATTTAATACATATATTTTAAATTGGTAATTCTAATAGGGTGTTAATCAACAATCGAAATGTGCATGAGACTTAATAATATATAATATAATTTGTTTAGGTAAAATAATTAGTAATTTAATTTCATATAAATGCGTGTTGTTATAGGCACAATTATTTTCCCCACTCAAAACCCATCTAAAGTGACCATAATAGCCATGGTTAACAAGGTACTTTTTAAGAATAAACTAAACCCACTTTAAATTGATAAATTATTACTGTTTCACTTTCTGTTTTAGTTCATAAAGCAGTATTTCTATTGATACGCTCTTTTCCGAATATTATTGAAAATTCAACTCCAACATTTATTTTACAACACTAACAGAGAAGATATAGCTTCAGTTGCAACTTTAATGCTAACCGAGAGTTAAAGCAGTCGCACAATGTTTGCCGAATATCCACACAGCTGAGTCCAGCACTCTCAGTTAATATATCGTGTTTGTATTTCGGCCTAAAACTTGGCAAGCCGATAATTTGGCCAGTAAATCTTCAACTTGCATGGAGTTTGCTTAATTGGTAACTAAAGCAAAGGATATATCATTGTGTGCTTGAACGTTGCGATAATTTCGTATTTGTGATTCATCCCAGTGGCTTTGAGCATTGTAATGCATACGTTTTTATTCCTTAATTATAATAGTTAATATTTGTAGTAAACTGCCAATATTTTTTTTCTTTTTTTTTATCGTATCGATTAAAAGTAACGAATAAAATATTTATGTTAGTGATTCTTTGACAATAAGTTTAACAATTGATGTCTTTCAGGATATCGTGTGTCTCTTTTCTTAGTGGGAAAAAGGGCACTTCTTTTTCGCACTAGTATGGTCAGACTGTAGTGTAAGACTCATTCCTCAAACCACTTTTACTCTGTTGGACTCAGAATCTTTTGTTAAATCTATTTAGGTCAGTTCAACATGTAACCTTAGCACATGAGATTCACTCCATAACAAGGCAAGACGCCTTTGCACGCAGAATACCCTGGACTCACTGTGGCAAACAGCTCCAATGTACTCACCCTCCGTTAACATCGGAATTACTGTGTCCACCGACACCGTGGAATGGAGCCTCCAGTCGGAGACTCATTTAAAATATTTCTCATGAAAATATACATATATACTTTCCTTAAAAGTATTTACTTACCGTATCAAAAAAATTACCAAAATATAAAAAAACTGTTCCTGAATACTTGAAATTAATAGGTACCAATTTTTTTTAGTATTCTGTATTGAGTATTTGTATTTTTAAGACAATACTTCTTTTAGTTTTTCTTATGAGTTGAAAAATAATTATTATGTTTTGTTTAAATTTTTTACATATATTTATGGAAATTAAACAGCTATTAGGAATCACAAAAATAAAAAAAAATCATGTGCATGTTTATTTTTTCAATAAATAATTTTTAAGGGAATAACAAATAATCAAAACGTTTTAAAAGTTCTTGGTTTATCATATTCTTCTATTTGCCCGTGGGAACAAAGAAGTGACAAGTTAGCCCCCCGCAGTTAGGATTAAAGCCTCGAGTGAAAATCGTCGAAATGCTCCTGTTTCCTGGAGTAATGAGCGTACCGTTGAGGAAAATCAACGTCATATTGGGCAAAAACAAAGGAGGGTAAGCAGTCGTCTCCAAAGGGGAAATCAAAGGCACCCCGGGGGGAGGGAAGGAAGTAGCTACTCCAGGGTTGAGTATGGTGTTGTTGGCGTATATGATCCTTCCAGAAGGCATCTGTCCTGCGGGTGGAACAACTCCTGCGGCGTACTGGGTCAACACAACTGTGGCGTTAGGGAATCTAATGGATCCTCCGGGAAGAATCATAGAACCGTTCGGGAGCAGGGCCAAAGGTCCTCCAGGAATCGTGTTTGGGCCAGGAACGACTCCTCCTGGAATGTTGATGTTGATGGTGAAGCAACAGTAGCCTCCATAGGGACCGATTGACCCGTAGGGTAGTGGGGGGTACCAGCTGGGATAGAAGGAAGGGAACCAGTTCGGCCTGACTCGGTATGAATACTGAGGACTGCCGCCGAGACAGCATAGGAGGACCAGCCATGACGTCACTAGTGTAACCTGCAACAGAATACTGTCAAAGGAGTTGCTCATATTCCAAATTGTACGATTGGAAACCTGACTAATACATGGCTAAAGAGTGAATAATATCAAATTCAAACTTATGTCACAGAAAACATACTACTATAACCCAGAACCCGCATGGTAATAAGCATTAATTGTTTTGAGAGAGCTTTGCCTGTCAATTTGTAGGCAGCGCCACCAGCGTTGCTATGCTGAGTGCATGGCAACGCTGGTGGCGCTACCTACGAGTTGACAGGCAAAGCTCTCTCAAAACACTTAATGCTTTTTACCATGCGGTTGGCATTCTGGGTTATAGTAGTATGTTTTCTGTGCTTATGTTCAGCTAAGGAACTTAAATAAGGAATCTAAGGTTAAAGTTTTTTGATACCATCCAACAATAAACCCTTCTTGGTGTATATTTCTTACGTTAGGGTATGATAAATGTTTGCAGCCTTAGTGGAAGCGGAAAAAATGTGGTAAAAAACTAAAATTATGACATCAATTATGTACAATTATTATTACAATTATTAATTAATAAGGAACAATTATTTACTATTGGTTGATTATTTGGTACAATATATACAACCACGACTTGAGCACGACTATTTGTAACGTTATAATTAATTAAAGTGAAATTGAGAACAAATTAATTCATAGATCCATGTCAATTATAAACAATAGTAGACACGTTTTACTATGGTTAAATGATGCGCTTTCCTTAAATTTGTTAAAGGAAAGGTTAGTAATTGTTGTAAAGAAGCTTATCGTCTAATGTGTTGGAGTGTGTATTTCACGTTGAAGAGCAGTTAGCATTATGTAAGTGTCGGATATCAGAATAAGTGATACAACGGTAAAAGCACTCAATCCGATGTAGTCAACCTACATTTCATTCTTGCAAAATGTTCTAAAAGCATGATAAAGATCTCACGAAATAGCTTGTTTGGTAGTTTGAAACTCATCCAGTACTGTAGATAATTTACTTTTAGCCATTAGGATTTTACAGTTAAAAACGCGTTTGTGTAAAGATAAACATTTTACTGTTCTATCATATCTTAATCTCTTTGGGGTTAAACTCTTTCCTAACATTATAATCATAGTTTATTGAGAAAGAAAAATCATGTTTTAAATTGTATACACCATTCATCACTGAAAATGCTAATACCGTTAAGACGCAAATAAAAACAAATCATTACAGTGATTTATTTACCAAAATAATTATTGTTGTTAAAAAACAGTTTAGATAACGTTATGATTTGAACTACACACGTATGCAGCACATAGAAGTAGCAATAGCCATAATACTAGTTATTGGCAATGCCAAATAGTTGCCAATAATTGGAATTGTACGTACTTAGTATTCAGTCATTGGCACACCCAAAAATCCAATATTTTGAGATAGGACCAAAAACCTCTTAGGTTATGTTTATAACGATCCTTTACAAACTATGATTTAACATTATATTTCGTAAAATTATCAAAATAATAATCGTGAATAAATAAAACTAAATGTGTCTTCTTGCTGTTTTCAATAAACAATTGGCATGATTTTGTGTTGTAAGACACGATTGATTGATTAATTTTTCCAGCCTAACCCACGCTGTGAAACAACTGACCATGTGAAACTCCAAGGTCATCTATTGAGGAACATGAGGCACTGCCTTTAGAATAGTGTTTGAAGCCTAACTGTACTATAAAAAATATTACAACACGGGGCAAATAATAGCTAGTAAGTGCCAATAATACCTGCCTTATCTTAGTAAATAAAAGCACTAGTACGTTACCGAAGTGGAGCATGTAAGTCATTTCACGTTACCAGTACTATAATAATTGTAAATAGAACAATTATTCGAGAATGCTTTGTAAAGCACATTTGGGTTGTGTTAAGCTATTGTATTTATTTAAGTATATAAATGCAAAACGGCCAAACAGTTTAGTTAAAGCCCAAAATGCAATTAGGGCCCAGTCTTGATGTTTAAAACGGACGAACTTTCTTTATTTAATTTTGTAAGTTCACATTAATAATCTTTTTTAACTTATATCTTTATAACTGTTCTCATTCTCGTAAAATTCAAACTAATGGCTGCTTTTGGCCCATTTAAAAATCCATAATGTACCAAAAATATATAGCTACCAATATTTGTATAAGTAGGTTCTAACATACATTGGTAGCTAGAAATTTCAGAGTATTTGTTGTAAATAGTCCATTTAATGTTTCTATTTCTGAATAAAATTAAGTGATTTAAGTTTGCATACAAAAAATAATAAAAATAAATAAATGTTAAATTTATTTTCATTGCTGCTAAAACTAGTTATTAATATTTATACAACCAACATTGAGAACTGAAATAAAAGTTTATATTTTCCGGAATTTTATCATGTTGTCAAAGCTATTTACAACGACCGTATTAATAAACGTGGCATGGTAAATTTCGATTCAAGCTTAGACCATCTAACTAATCTAAGAGTAACAGTTTTACCAACGTAAAAAAATATGAAACTTACATTAATCAACGACATGTTCTGCCCACCTTAGTTTTCTGCTGTCCCTTCCTCAACTGCCCGAAAAAAAACTAGGAAGGACGAGGTCCTTCAAAAGTCGCCATCAGCCCCCATAAACTTGTCATCACTGTGTCATTGTTATGGACAGCCCATTTGTCAACACAGTCGAGAGCGATGGAGAATGGCTGTGTTGTGTTACAGGATGTGTATTGTTAGACACATCCTAGCTGCGTCATGAAAGCATATAATTGTATTACTAAAAGCAAAATTGTTTAATAACATTTGTATTTTGTTTCTTATATTTTTTTAAAATAAGTTTAGGCTGGGAAAAAAGGTAATTGCTTGTTTTTGTGCACAAACCGAAAACGTAAAAATCTTATTATAGTAAAACAAGTACAATTATTTATCCATGTTCTTATGATTCGGATAGTAAATATTTTAAGCACTATTTCAGCTATGCTTGTTGATACAAATCCGTATTAACTTATTTTTAAGTAAATAGTTGGTAGGGAAAAAATTGAATTAGGCTTAAACAAATCTATTTAAATAGTTTTAGTAGGTTTGACAATCTTTAATGGAGATGTAAAGTAAATAGTAGGATGCACGTATTTTACAGAAGGGACACTATTTTTTATCTTACCATAAAGAGTGTGGCTATTTTTTGCTAATATTTCAACTTATTTTTCCTTTTACAAATATTAAACGTATATTCGTCTAAGTTTAGACAGTTAAGATGCATACTTAAGGATTTATTACTATACAGGGTGGTAAAAAAGTCCCAGGACAGTTAAATATTTTAAAATATAATGCAGATAGAGCTACAATACTTGATACAAAGTTACAAGGCATAAAACTCTATTTTAACACATATTCAGTGATCCAATAACTCTTCAGGGGGACGGCCCACAAGGAGTCGGAAGAAAATCTTAAATGGAAGCATGGGTCAATATGCACAACAAATTAAAGGTCTTCACTAGTAGATTACGATGCCGTAAATTCAAGCTCAAAAGAATGCCTGAGTAAAAAATGGCAGTCGTTCAAAGATTCAAAATGGCGGATTCAAGAAATCTTTGAATATCTGCCATTTTGCGCAGGATCAACCTTTTGAAGTGCAGTTATTCTACTAAAAAAGACCATTAATTTGATGTGACCTATGTTTCCATTTAAGATTTTCTTCCGACTCCTTGTGGGCCGTCCCCCTGAAGAGTAATTGGATAACTGAATATGTGTTAAAATAGAGTTTTATGCCCTGTAACTTTGTACCAAGTATTGTAGCTCTATCTGCATTATTTTTTAAAATATAGAACTGTCCTGGGACTTTTTTACCACCCTGTATATACTTCTCAGGGGTTTAAAATGGAACAATAACACTTACAATAAATTTTCACTACACTTAAAGATTTTTTTTTAAATTACATTTTAATCGAACGACTGACCTGGATTGATTTTTCCAGTATGAATTCATTCCATTTACCCTTTAATGGAGCTGATTGGCCCAAAGCAAAAACAGCGCTGTATTCAGCCCAGCTCTTTGTGATGCATCAAGTGCTTTACACCTATTGAATGCTGGGTTTTTTCATTGGTACTTTTAATATGCCAACGCCGACTGACACCGTATTGATTAATACAATCACCAACACGTTAGTCACTCTTGCACTAGTTTATAGAACTAGTAATTGATCCTTGGTGTGTATTAATTTCATGAAACTTAGTACAAATTCAATAAATTTTTTAAACAAATTATGTGTAGATGGTAGACTAGTTTTATAGAGAGTTTTATAGTTACTGTAAAACAATTTATTATGATTTATATATATATATATATATATATATATATAAATATAATAAAATAATTCATTAAGTATATAATGCATTTATGTTACTTTAACATCTGTAACGTAATATATATCTGTTATGTATATGTTATAGTTTATCTGTTACAATAACATTTTATAGTAACAGATCTAACATGGAATATCCAAATTTTACCAAGATCATTATAACAAATTCAAATACCATAAATCAATTTGTTACATACCCAGCATGATTAGTCATTAGTTGGCAAATTTGGATTTTTATTGTTATTTCTTGGTAATGTTTCAATGTTATGGGTTTCCCGTTAGAATAAATAAATAAATAAATACATTAGTGAGCATAAAAATTAAAAACACCAATAAATAAGTATTTAACTTATGAGTGATTATTAGTATATTTTAAACTTGAAAAGTAAATTATAAATGACCAGTTGATTAAACTTATTTAAAAGATTACTTTAATCAAGATTGTTTTAAAAACGTCATCACAATTTAAGTAAATGATTTAGATTAAATTAGAAAAATGTCAACGCAAAACATATCAGTGGGCTTCGTAGCTTGCTATTTGTTGCATTTACTTAATTTTGCTGCACGATTTTTTAGCCACACTCTTTTTTTTTGCCACTAACCAGTATTCCAACCAAACAACACAAAAAGCGTGCTTTTATTATGCATGTAATCTGTATACGCTTGAAAATAGATTGGCAACACTTAAAGATACTACGACTATGATCAGCTAATGCAGTTGTTTCTCATTTCGTTCAACGGTTGGATTTAACCTAACCTAATTATTCTGAAAAAGCAAGGTTCCTTGCAATATCAATATCAATGTCAATATCAATTATTTAAGATGGGGACGCCACTATGTGCGTATTTTAACCCAAATATGAGTGAAGGGTGAGTGTAGGATGAGTGGCGCGATCTTGTAGTCTTGTTAGTGACTAAGGCCGACATGTTCCTTAGACACAGCTGTTAATTAATAGCCCATACAGCTAATGGCAACTAAGGGACCTACAAATTATAGTGGAATCCGAACCACATTTTTCCTTGTAATTTACGAATTGGTCTAATTATCAAGATAGTACTGCGGATAGTCGTAGTACTCACTAGTGCGGACGTTAATCCACACCAGTGAGCATCGCATCCACAGTGCATCCCTATAAATATCCACAATTGCACTGATTATAGTACAGAAAGTTGCTAATTACTGCATTTACTTACTTTTGCAGCACAATTTGTTTACCGCACACCAGTATTCCAATCAAACGACCCGAAACAGCGTGCTTTTATTATGCACGTAATCTGTGCACGCTTAGATATACGTTGGCAACACTTAAACATCCACTTAAAACTGATCAAGATCACTTCAAGATCACATCAAGATCACTTAAAGTCCAGGCAATGAAGAGGTATGTTTGCTAGAGCAGCAATTTATTACATCAAGTTCATGTGAAATCCTAAACATTTGCCCTCGTAGAACACTTGACGAGATGCTTCACTTAGAGACTTAGCGTTTGTTAGAGGGTTTCCAACTCCATTAACTTGTATACATCGACAACATCGACCTTGTTGATAAACTTACTAACTAGTGTTTATCCATTGTCTTCATGTTGAAGTAACTTTAAAGTGTATATTGTAAAGCAAAATAATGTACGAACAAAATATCCCTGGTTTGATGTAAATTTCTTGGTATTGTTATAATTTTAACAATAACATTACTACGTCATTACTAAAATAACTTAAAAAAGTGTTTACATTTGCGTATAGGATCAGAAAAATATGTAATATCGTTCAGTAGTCAGCTACTATGAGGGCTTACCACAACAATACATTATCATTAACTTTACAAACATGCTCAAATTATCAATAATATATTTTTTTTCAAAATTATGTGTTTTGTAGTTACCCTTGGTTATAGATAAACAAAAGTCAAAAACAAAGAAACTTCGCTGATCTCCTAACCTGGATCAAGAAAACGTTTCAGTTTTCTGAATTTCAGCTCACGTTCCAACATGAAAGCCTAGAATAAGAAGATTCTGTCTTTTCCACAGTTTGTTCTCTAGTAATCAGAAACAAGGACATAAAATTACTACGAATCGGGCGCAATAGTTGTGCTGCAAGCAGAGTTTAGTGTATCAAACTTCATGCACATAATTTTAATTTACGTAGTACTGATAGCGGAAAATGTTTTTTTTTTAGAGTGCGGGCTATTGTTTGATAATGAATTTAATTTTGCTGGTAGGCTTATTACATTGTTCTCATATTATGTATTTTTCGTCCATTCCCATATTATATACATAAATAAATTGTTTATATGTTTCATATTATTTATTGCACCAGGGCTGCATACCTTCAAGCTAGGTAAATTCATTGATGGATATGTAGGAATTGGATTTGTTTCTTGTAATAAAAAACTTGTCAATGACCTTATATCGCACGTGGTGGGGGATTCAACAATTTTAAATAGTTTAAAAACACATTTTCTTAACAAATGATGCCAGTAACCGGCGAGAAACTATTAAAAAAAAGTGCCCTCGTTCATAAAATTATTTGCACATTTATAGACAGAACATGAATATAAACAGTTTCCCTTTACGATTAAAATGTAACACTAGAAAAAGAGTTATTAATTTTTAAAATAGATTATGTAGTCTCCTATAGCAAAATATCACATCATATATGAGAGCAGGGGTGAGAGACGAACAACATTTCTGCACATTTGACCTTTATTACTTCAATAAGGACAAGTATAAATAGTTTTTTTTGTGACATTAAATACGAATACCTATCTGACTCCTTAACTACAGCTTTTTTGAGGTAAAGTGATGGCACGAAACGCCATTGCAATCAGGTACAAACCCGTTTTGAAATACAGTCATGATGACGGTGCTATTGCCAGTAACAATGGTTCCGTTCCGATAAACCACAGAACCCTTTGGCAACACTGTGGATGTGGTCACATTTGTTATTGGTACCAATGTGTATCTCCTGGTAGCGCAGTCCGGAGATCTTGATTTGTTACCATACATGGCACCTACAGACAAGGGTTGAGAAGTTCGAGGTGGATATTTAGGGAATGTGGTTAGTAGTAAGGTCTCATTGGGAAAGACGATGGTTCCATTGGGTAGAAGTAGGGAGTTTTCTGGTAGTGCTACTGGAGGACGTGATCGGAAAGACAGCATCTTATCTTCACGGTTATGAGCGGGAGATTCTTCTTCTTCGAAAAGAAAGTCGTTTTGAGGAGGGGCTGGAGGCTCAGAGGACCAGTCTATAGGACTGACGCCATTG